CAAAGCACTTCAAGCCTTATACCGGAGACATGGAGTGTCAGTATCAGGTTTAGCACCCCGGGAGGGTTCCGCCCTTAGCGTTGGGGATAACATATTACCTCACCTTTGCCCATTGTATTCGAAAACCATCTGATTATTCTCGCCTCTCCAAGCTATTATTCACCTTAAATACGGATATAATAATTACTATATTACCTTATCAGCCGCCGCTGGCGTAGGGCACGCGGTGTGGCCATGGCCTGTCCCATTTGTAATGTAGATACGCCGCTATTCATATTATAATTTTGCGTGACATAATTGCGACCTGGGGTGACTTATTTACCGAGCCGTGGTGCCTCGGCCGACGGGGGAATGTCGGCCACCAGATGGCGAGAAGATATACCAGCGTTCCTGCCCACCGCGTGTCTTAGACCATCCTCGGCCTCCTCTTATGAGTGTGGTGACTTGGCGGAGTGTGTAGATGCGTGGTCCTGGTGTGGGGACATGCCCATGTGTGGTTAAGTGTCCAAGTATTAAGACCTGCCCACGTCTAGTTACGTGACGGAGTACGAATACATGCCCAGGTGTGGATACGTTCCCAAGTGTATGGATATGCCTTTACCTGGCTTACGTCGTTGAACAAGGTGTGTGGTCAGTGGTGTTTAGCGAAGTCAGGGGTAGGAAAGTGACCTGGTATTGTGGCCCACCTTCTATAATTTAGGGTCAAACATCCAACACGACATAAAGATTATGACTCACAGTTCCTTCGAAAACATCGATATCTTTTGGCGTTATAAAAACAAATGGTGGTGAATTTCCCGTTGTGGCGAAGCGACTCTTTTAGAGGAACCAGCACCAGGAATTTTTGCACAGTGTAACATTGCAAAAGACACCAATATTGGGTGGAGTTCACGTAATAGATCATTTTATGTGGCGAGTAGTTTTAAGATGTGCAGTCATATATTTATTTATTTTGTATCTCTAACTATAATGGTTGTTACAAGGAAGAGGAACATTATACTTCCTTTGTGTTTGTGTTACGTGTTCCTTAGCTTCTTAATTTTTAATATACAACACCTGGTAGCATTAATTAACTTGCTTTGGAGTGTTTACAGTATTTACCACACGTTATTGAGATCAGCTGATTACGCAGTTAGTATATATGTTTATTTTAGGACCTATTACAATGAATTTCCTTCTGTGGATGACCAAATATTACTCTGGACAGGTCTATTATTCTTTCTCTATTGATACACAACTATTTTTTTTTACAACACGTTAATATTTTTTCTTCTTCTTCGTCATCCTTCGTCTCAAACTCATCTTTATATTTCCTCCTGTTCTTTAATCGCTTTTTGCTCCTGTTGCTGCTACACTAATATTTGTTACTCCTCCTTGTTCTTGGCCACGTCTCACAATGCGCCACACACACGTCCCTTGTCACCTTGTCAAGAGAATTTATTATATAATTACAGGTATTGACGCGTTTGATTGATTCTGAGAAATTCATAAATAATATTCCTCAGTGATGCATAAATTTCGTTATATTGTTCTTGGCTTTATTTTTATCATATATACACACACACGTGTCATTGTACATACAGGGTGATTGAAAAAGAATGGCCAGATTTTAATTGGTTATATATTAAGATTTCAGCATTCGTTTTTTGGTGACCCTGTATATTGATTGTTTTATATTTCCATGCCAGTTATATCTACAGTAGCATTATATTATCAAGTAAAGGCGGTGGTGTTTCTTGTAATTATTTAAATATAAAACTTGTATCTGAGTCCCATAGAGCTCTCCTGGTGACCATCATATATTTTTCACAAGTGTATCAGATTTTACAGCTCCTGGGACTCGCATTCCCTCTCTACCTCTGTTTAGAGACTTGTAAATTTTGTACAACTTGTGCCGGAGTATAATTGGTGACATGCCCAACACCACCAACACTTGGGGCGACATTCTAGAGAGAGAGAGAGAGAGAGAGCCTGCGCTACAAATTACAGGATTGGGGCTCAGATTGGTGGAATTTGACAGAGGGGTGTGGTATAGAATGTAAAGGATGTGGTAGTCATGAAAAGGGACTTTGACACAATATAAAAGGTGTGGCAGAGCTTGATAAGAGGTGTGGCACAGATGACGGGGAGGGGAGAATGGCATAGTTTGGGGACTGCGATATAACTTAGTAAGGATGGTAATGAGAGATTAGTGAAGATGTGGCACAGATCGATAAGGTGATGGTACAGATTAACAAGGGTGTGGCATAGAATTCTGGTGGTGTGGTGCAGGTTATTAAGAATGTGGCTCATGTTGGTGGGGTTATATCAGATGTGGCACAGACTGGCAGAATGTGACAGATGAGCGATTTTTAAGACTGGGCCACACTTAGGTTCAAGGCCGGGACACACTCGGGCTCAGGGCTGGTCCACACTCAGGACCGGGCCACACATCAGCGGCCCGGAAGAGGGACTAGAGACAGGAACGGAATAACTGAATAAGAAATGCCGGCGTGTAATAAACGGCGGGGATGTTTCTCTAGTAATTACGGGGGGCGGGATATTTAGGGGGAATATTACCATTGCCACTTGCTTAACTTACTTCCACTTTATAGGGGAGGGGGAGACGGGGGTGGGGGAGGGTGGTAGGGAAGGGTTTGAGAAGGGGATATTAGTGGAGTTAGGGACTTAGGAAGAGGATGGAGGGAGTGTAGGGGAAGGTGATGAGGGGGTAGGGAGTGATGGAGGAGGAAGGGGCGGGGGAGAGGTCACTGTGTGGGAAGAGGAGGGTTAGGTTAGGTTAAGGGGAATGTTTGGGTAGGAACCACCACCACAATCACCACGACTATCACTGCCGCCATCATTTCTACGACCACTACTACCACCACGATCACTACTAATACTACAACTAGCATCATCTAACGCTGTTACATCCACCACACAACCCTCATTGCTACAACCAGCACCGCCAGCATTCATACAACCACCACTACCACAACTACCACCACTGCCGTCGCTACCACCACCATCATCGCCATCATCATTTCTACAACCACTACTACCACCACCATTATCACCTCCAACTTTTCATTCATCTGACAATTATAAAGATTATAATTATATGGTTGACTCTCCTGGCTGAGGGCGACTCAACCAGCCCTAACCCAGTCCTCCCCGGCGCCGCCTATGAGCCTCAGCCCACACCCACCACCACGCCCACGCCACGCCCACCACCACTCATCCGCACAATACCCTCTTATTTGCATGCGACCATAAAGCACTTGTCCCCGCCCACACGCCCCAGCTCCCCCTAGGAGTTTCACACCTTCTACCCATTCATGGGGGTGTATGGGGAGGCAGGGTGGTAGGGGTGTGGTTAGTGTGAGTGTGTGTATCGTGGGTGTATGTTTTGGTGGTTGAAAGTTTGTGTATATCGCAGGTGTAAGCTGGAGTGGTTGTAAGGCTGTGTAGTTGGTGTGAGTGTGTATATCGTGGGTGTATGTTGTGATGGTTGTAAGGTTGTGTAAAGGTATGGTGTAGGTTATGGTGGTTATAGGTTTTATGGTCACCGTGCGAGAGTTGTGGGGGTGTAGGTGGTGGGTGCGGTGTGAGAGGGAGGAGTGAGACCAGGCACAAGGTAATCCCAGCAGCTGAGACCCTGTAAGAGGATCAACACAGTCTTAGCGCTCACCGAGATGAGAATTACGATAAAAAGCTGTACAACAACTTGTAATAATTTGCGCCGTATTTAATGTACAGATTAAATGGGTTGGTAATGGTGGGGGTTAGTACAGGTCACGTGTTGTAGGTCATCTGTTGGTCTTGTCCCCAGCCAGGTATTAAAATTTAAAAGATGTTCACTATGATACATTTTATCCATAAGTATGAATAAAAAAATAACGTAGTGTTACAATAAACTTCATATGAAAAATTTGACACTGTTTTACATTTCCATTCCTAGTTTGAGGGAATTTTGTTGAACAGGAACCTTTGAGAACACTGCTGGGCAGTGATTTTTCTTAACCTGGAAGAGCAAAGTTGTGAAGAGATTTACTCATAATTGCTTCAGGATAAAGTGTTTAGTTAAACGAATCATGACTCAATCTTTATTTCTATTTTTTTATGTAAATAAAGTAGATATTCATCTCACTTCAATAGCCATTAGTATTATAGTTAGGGGACGATGTGGATGGATTTGAAGCCATAGTCGAGAATAACATTAGTAAATAACAGGTGGTATGCGTTCGTGGTGATGAACATATTATCCCGTACCAATACCAGTATAGTGTACTGCCGGATTTATTGAACAACAACGATAAATGTTGTGTAAACATCCATTACTGTAATTTATTTGAGTATATGATGTTTCTACGTGTTGATTTCTTCATAACAGAAAATGAGGGCTTACCCCACACTCGTTTAAAGGCTAACTTAGGTAAATTGGTAACCATTCTCTGTTACAATTTAAAACATACAGGACATAGTGAGGATGTATATTGGTTTCACGGGATGGCGAGGAAACGTTGGCTAACACATAGAGTGATTTAGTTCTTATCTCTGTCTCCATAACATATTAGTGCATCTCTTGTGGCGTTCTGTGATCCATTTACCGTATTTACCCTGTTTAGTGCATGTTAATCCCTGTTAGTTAAATGGGTCGGGGAGATGTCTTATGAATCTCCCCATAAACTAGTAATTCATATATATATATATATATATATATATATATATATATATATATATATATATATATATATATATATATATATATATATATATATATATATATATATATATATATACTGTGTGTGTGTGTACTTTTTCTGTTAGAATTTTTTTCCCATAAAAAGTTTTAAGATGTCGTGTGGAAGGTTTCATGATCTGAAACTAATAATTAGTTTTCCGATATCATGATTTTTACTTTACATGAACCACTCTGGGATTTTATTTAAGTCCATTAAAAGAAATTCTTTTCCGGGTCATAAACGATACTAATAACACTTGTGTCTCTACAGACGGCGCTGCACTGGGCGGCCAAGCACGGGAGGAATGAGGTGGTCAAGCTCCTGGCCGGCACACACCATGTTGACGTGAATGCCAGATCCGTGAGTATCTGTCCTCCACCGTCACCCCCTGTCCACCACTACACTTCACACCTGTCCACCACCACACTTCACACCACTACCACCTGTCCACCACCACACTTCACACCACTACCACCTGTCCACCACCACACTTCACACCACTACCACCTGTCCATCAAGGTCTCAGTTAAAAGTTCAATATCAAAACCTCCTCTGAATTTTAACTCTTTTATCTTCTCTCTTGGTGTTTTGAAGCGACACACAACACAAATACTCATCATTATTGAACAACTGCACAACATCTTCATCATAGGTCCTTTGTTATCACCATTGTGTTCCTGTGCCTCAGTACCTGTAGCCCCCCACCTTATTTCACCTTGTAAGATTAATCATCCTAACACCAACCTGACATAACATAAGCTAACCTAACCTAACTAATGTATCCTGATCCAACGTAACATAACCTAACCAAACCTAACCTAACCATAATGTAAATTAATCCAACCTACTATAACCTAACCCAACCTAGCCTAACCTAATATAACTTAACCCAACCAGACCAGATAATAATAAGATATTTAAGCAGGTGACAAATTGGGAGCTAATTTTCAGGTGATCCGAGTACAGTACAGTAGGGCGTCAAGGTGTACTAGAGCACCTGGGTCTTCTCGGCAGGTGACAGCAACACCCAGTTTATTGTTGCACACCTTGATTATGTATTGACAGACGCTGGCTTGTGGTTTTATTATTATTGTAATTATTATGTTTTTTTCTGATTATTAGTGTAGTTATCAATTGTTAGTGTTGTTAATTATTATTATTATTATTGTTATTATTATCATCATCATCATCATCATCACTTTATTTATCGAAAAAACTGTTCTGGGGGTCTTAGTTGATGGTAGTTGTGACCTGTTGAAGCTCTCCTAGTTATAACTCACTGAACTAGCAGACGAAATTGATCTTGAAGTTTTAGTTAGAATCATAGATCGCATAAGACAGCGTCATTAAGGAGAGATGGATACATGAAAGCGTTATAAAACATATTCGTTATAAAACATATTCAGGAGACCAAATAAGGAGTGTTGCAAACCTGTGGTGGTGAGGCGCCATGTTTCAGTGTGTGTGTGTGTGTAGTGATGACTCCTGCACCGTGACATTGACTGATGTACTTGATGGCTGGCAGGTTTAGTGGCTTGTTAGGGCGCTGGTTGTGTGTGTTGGTGGTATAGCAGTTGTAGGTGCTGCCGTCCGTATAATAACTCTTTGCAATCGAGGACATAATTATGGAGGATGGGAAAGGTTATAGGTGCTTGTCCACAGTCTTACCGGGGACGTTTAGTGACGTTGTACTCTGTGATTAATTGTTATGTCCTCCCCAGGAAGATGAGGTGTTCAGGGAGTCGCAAAACTTTTCACCAATATTTTACTGCTTGTAGGAGAGGCGGCAGACAGATGAGGACCAACAGTAGCCTCCGTGTCGTGCCACCCAAGGTTAACTACACCCGGATCCTTGTGGTCAACAGCCCACGGCGGCAGCTGGGTCTACATATCTCACGTATATACAATACCTCACAAACACTGAACATCTCATACAATTCTACCTGAAATTAACCCTAGGAAAATTTCATATCAGATCTGAAGTCACGTGAAGGTGTGATGTTAAAGGATGAGCCTGACGCTGATATGGTCGCTACCCTAGCAAGTGTTCTCATGACAGATTTCAGGGAAAATTCTCCACACACACACACACAGAGTTGGTGGTCATAATTATACACATGTTCAGTAGAGAGAGGCCGGAGCCGAGGTACTTATGTGAGCACCCAGACCTGGGTGGTGGATATAAAGAAAAAGATCTGTGGTTTGCTAATCTTCGCTAGTGTAGGTGAGAACCAACCTAAGAGGACAGTTGTTAATAAACTCGGTGTTTGTCCCGCCTGGTAGTGGGGGACGTAGGGTGGTGGTACGTGGCGGCAGTCAGCAAAATAATAACTTAGTACGGTAAAGTAGAAGATACCATTCCATACACAGCACACAACACCGAGAAGACCAATGGATGACCAAAAACCAATAGCAGCTCACCTCCTTAAAATCCAGACTCCCATAAAACCCCGGCGTCCCCCCCCCCCGCCCTTGTAGCGGGGGTAAACTAAACATCAACAACAGCAGGGTGGTCCGCCACCCACTATTGCTCGCTGACTTATTTCTGGATTTCTCCTCATCTCTTCCATTAAATATTTTTTTCTGGTTCAGTGACTCTCATGGGCGATTCATTCATTCCATCTTTGGCATAGGATTGATAAAAATCTGATTTGATATAATGTAGAATTTAATTTATCCGATATTTTTACGTGAAAAAGCCACTTGTCTTTTAATAATATTCCGAGTGTCCCAGCAGGGATAGAATTTCCCCCGACACGGTGGAGAGGGGAGCAGTTCTCCTGAGTGGATTAGCAAGGGTTTTGCATATATATTTATATTCCCCGCTGATGATTTTTATGTAACACACTTGATCCTTTCTCTCTCATTGCATGTGGACGCTGTGACGTGGACCCCTATTATGCCTCACTGCCTCACTCTTGGACACACGTGGGGACGTCCTCTTCGCTCTGGCTCCTGCTGGGGGACAACTCTGCTGCTGCTACTGCTTCACCACATCAGAACGGGGTAAGTGTCACTTAGTGGTTGGGTGTCAGCAGGTTGGGGTCTGGTGTAGTCCTCGAGCTCGGGAAGGTCGTCAGCTGGTAGAGAGCGTCAGTTAATAGGGAATGTCAGCCGAGAAAGAATTGTCAGCTGGTACAAGATGTCAGCAAGTATAGGGCGTTAACTGATGCAGGGAGTCAACTGGTAATGCAAATCATGTGGTACAGTATAGTAGTAATTGGTAGAAGGAGTCAGCCGCTAAATGGTTGTCAGCTGGCAGAGGGAGTCAGCTGCTAGAAGGTTGTCAGCTGGTAGAGGGAGTCAGCCGCTAGAAGATTGTCAGCTGGTAGAGGAAGTCAGCTGGTACGAGACTCGTGTGGCTGAGTGGAGGCAGACTATCAGCAGGTGATGGTGACGGACAGTGTTAGATGGTGGTGGTGACGGGATTGTCAGCCGGTATTGGTAGTGTTGGAGATTTGGGGGGGGGGGTGGCACTGGAGAGACTATCACTTGGTGTTGATGGTGATGAGGAAGCAGTGTCAGCTGATGATGGTGGAGATCAGGAGAGAGTGTCAGACTTGTGGTGGAGACATTGTCAGCTGGTGGTGATGATGGGAAGGGGACTTTCATCTGGAGATGTTGGTCATGGGTGGCAGTGTCAGCTGGTGGCGGGATCATTGTTGAGGAAGGAATGTGTCAGCTGGTGATGGGGGTGATAGTGAGACAGTGTAAGCTAATAATGAGGGGGGGGGCACTGTCAGCTGGTGGTGGTGATGGAGGATCAGTGTCTGCTGATAGTGGGAGGACAAGTGTCAGCTGGTGATGGTAGTGTGATGGACAGTGTCATCTAGTGATGGTAGTGGGAGGGACAATGTCAGCTGGTGATGGTAGTGGGAGGGAATGTCAGCTGGTGATGGGAAAGACAGTGTCAGCTGGTGATGTTAGTGGTGGTAGTGGTGGGACAGTGTCAGCTAGCTATGGTAGTGGGAGGGACAGTGTCAGCTGGTGGTGGTGATATGTAAGGACAGTGTCAAGTGGCGATGGTAGTGGGAGGGAGTTGTCAGCTGATGAAGGGGGGGGGAAAGTGTCAGCTGGCGATGGTAGTGGGAGGGAGTTGTCAGCTGATGATGGGAGGAACAGTGTCAGGAGGAGAGAGGTGCCGGGTGTGTGAGCGCGTCGTCCTAGTGATCGATACGTCCTCCTCCTCCTCATGTGTATGGCAGCCACCCTCCGTTTTTACATCATATATTTTTTTGTATCTGGCCTTAATTAATACATCAGGCCGGCACGTTCTTAGCCAGGGATTAATTTATATGCAAAATTGTCGAGTTATTGGGGAGGGGGAGGACGGTGGTGGCTAATGTGAAGGAATTTACTGTGGGGTTGACTTAGGTAATCTGCAGTGTGGGGTTGACGCCTTGTTCTCCTCTTCCCTGTCTTGATGTACTCCTGGCTGTCTGTGGGTGGTGAGATGTACTCCTGGCTGTCTGTGGGTGGTGTGATGTACTCCTAGCTGTCTGTAGGTGGTGCGATGTACTCCTGGCTGTCTGTGTGGAGGGATATTTATATTCACACTGTGTTGAAGAAATGTAGACTTATTGAGGTTGCCAAAATAATCCCATTTAAATTAGTCTTTATAACCAGAGTACTCTCTTAACAAGCACCAGTGACGTCATAGACTTCTCGCGGGCTTGGGCAGATACTAGCAAAAATAAATACCGGTATATAAGTAAATAGAACGAAATACGTAAATTGAATACACGTGAAATATAATGCATGAGGAGTTATATTTGTGTACATCTCACACATTCACAAAATGCATATATTTGCAAATGCATTTCAACTACAGGGGAAACTTAACTTGGGGAATCCGGCGACCAGCTAACTCCCCGCTCTCCTCACAGACAACCGCTCGGGGTAATAGTGTATTGTTATTAATACTGTCATTATTAGAGTCACTTTATTATTGTTATTATTTGTATTATTATTAGTCACTGTATTATTTATTATTATTGTTATTTTATCATTGTTATTTTTATCATTATTGTTAGTTTTATTATTAGTTATTTTTATCATCATTGTTATTTTTGTCAATTGTTATTTTATCATTATTGTTGTTATTATTCGTATATTAGGAGAATAAGATTTTTGTTGTTCATCATCTAGGCATTTTGACTTCTACCTTTTGAACCACTGGAATAATAACCCACCTGAGTGAATGTTTACGGGTGGTAGATGACATGTGGGATAATAGTGTAGTTTATATTATATTCCTGTGTGTAATTGTAGACTGTTAAGAGGTGACGGTGTGTTGCTTTATTAATACAGTGTCTGGGTGATCATCATACACCTATATCGTATACTCAGATTGCTAAACTTTTGACTTAACAAATCTTATCTCGCCAGAAGATTAACACCCCCAGTGCTAACCTAACCTAACCTACCCTACCCTACCCCTCCTCTCCTCTCCTCTCCCAAGTTGCATTAGGTAGTTAATTTTCAGGTGAGATAAGCTGAGGGGGGATTCTCAGGTGATTCGCTCAGTTATTTGACGTGCTGGTGACTCGATAGTGGCAGGTACATATGTGTGTTAGAGAGAGAGAGAGAGAGAGAGAGAGAGAGAGAGAGAGAGAGAGAGAGAGAGTGAGTTTGTAGGGGGATTCACCACTGCTCCACACCTCAAAATAACATATCAGTGTACTGTACTGTATATTACATGGCAAATACACATTTCAGTGTACTATTACACTGTAGTGAATATACATCTTAGATTAATATTGTATCTGTAAATTGTATACTCTCCCGACGGCATATATCATCTGAAATGTAGTATTCATTTAAATTTGCATTATACACGGTCGTGAATATACTTCTCACGTATATAATATATCGCCTAAATATACTTCACATGAAAATAAACTTGAGTATAATCCTAAATATATCTTCTTCAAGCCGATAGCAGTACTGTATAATGCCATCCTGGTATTTTTAGCTTGTGCTCGGGTATTTTGATGGTGTCTATGTATATTCGTATGTATATATGCATGTCTGTATGACGAATATAGCCCTCTGGAGTGTGTGTGTATATGTCTGTGTGTGTGTATGTGTCTGTGTGTGTATTATGGCCCGCATATTGATGTGGGCCTGAGAACAAAGCGGTTTTAGAAATTTCGCCAAACAAATTCCCGGCGGTGACCAATTTTTAACGAGAATTTACCGCCGGCCAAATTGCTGAAACATTTTTTGGTTCTCTTCACCCATCGGGTTATGGCCTTGGTGCTCTGTGTGTGTGTTGGTCGTACTCTGTCGAGTGCGTCATTCCCACTGTGTTCAATATCGTTCTGGTGGTGTTGTGTTGTCCCCTTGGTGTTATATGTCGTGTTGTCGTCCCTGTGGTGTTATGTGTCGTGTTGTGTCTTTCCCCTGGTGTTATGTATCGTGTTGTGTCGTCCACCTGAAATTGTGTCGTGTTGTGTCGTCCACCTGGTGTTGTGTCGTGTTGTGTCGTCCAGCAGTTTTCCGTGTGCCCAGCAGTTATCCATGTATACCCAGTAGTTATCCATGTATGCCCAGTAGTTATCCATGCATGCCCAGTAGTTATCCATGCATGCCCAGTAGTTATCCGTGTGTCCAGCAGTTATCCATGTATACCCAGTAGTTATCCATGTATGCCCAGTAGTTATCCATGCATGCCCAGTAGTTATCCATGCATGCCCAGTAGTCACCTGCACATGCCCAGGACCCACATAGAGGTAACACGTCATTATGCTCCACTAAAAGCTCTTTTTTTTCACCTGAGAACATTATACCAGTGACAGGTTGACTACTCAGGGACAGAGGTGATACATGGTACGAATAATTAGCAAAGTATTCACATTTTCTGATGATGAGTCATGAAATAATTACTACATATACCATAATGTCTGTATAAATTTATAAGTTAAGATACAATTATTTTCATTACAAATCCTGCATATAGTTAAACAACTCGAGGAATGTCAACACGCTGTTCATTTTTACAAAGCGTGTTGGATTCGTCCTTATAATGAGTAACTATGACCTATAGAATCATTAATTGAAAATATATTTTACATGCAATTTAATAAGTAATGATGCTGTATGAAAATCTGTCACTCTTTAATGAATAGCATAAGTCAATGTTGGGTAAATATTTGTTTGTTTTATATTAGATCGTATGTAGCTCGTGTAAATTGTGTTCGTAAACAGTGGACAGGCACAGACATCCCCAGAGTACACAGGTCCTTGTTGTTCTCCTGACGACTCTCTCGCTGATTTTTTTCCACATTTGCCCTGAGCGTCTGGCAGCGCGGCGATACATGTCCGTCCATCTGACCTATTTTATACAGATTACACACACACACACATGCCTGAATGTGTTTGGCAGACAGTGCGGCCGGAACGAAGGACGTCTTGGTGTGTTGTGGAGTATCGTTTGTTATGGTGTGTTTTACCATAGTGTTCACTCCTCACTCGTTATATGGTGATGTAAATGTGTTTGTTTTATACATAGTTTGTCGGCACGAAACATGACTAAAACAGACACAATATTTTGACACAACTTCACTAAGATTATACGAAATTATAAATTTGTAAAGATATGTTTGTTAATAATAGATGATACACTGTATTTACTGATCGTAATTAGCTTGTTTGTAACTTACAGACTACTAAAGAAAATATAATTATATACTTCCACTTGGGGAAAGTTATTCATCAGAAAACCACCGATGGAAAATATATACAGTTATAAAGAAGATTGTTCAGTAGCCACCTTACAGCTAATGTGATAGTCAGCCACATATTCAAATGGCATGTGTTTTGCTACACGTCAGATGGGGAGCTGTACTGCGATCGTAGAAGTTGAACTGGAATTGTATGAACAAATAATTTTGGTTTTACCGTGTTATTAAACAGTTGATAATATGGTGTGAAAGTACACCGAGGCCATGTAACTGTAGACATATTGTACGACAGGCCTTTCCTGGGGTGATTCTTAGGAGGGTGGTGAAGATAGCGCTCCACCTCCCAGCATTACTACATTTCATTATATGATCAAGATAAAAAATATGAATTCCATCCATAAATGTTTACTTGACTTAAGTAACTTAAAAATCTAGTATGATAAGTTGTTTTCACTTGTTACTTACATGACAATGATGTACTAACATGACACCACCTGAGTGGGGCAGGATAAGGGCGGCCCACACGCGCTGCGGCCTCACAAGTTTTAGCCTGTTTTAAGGTACTGTATATTAAAGTGGTACAAGCCAACAGCTGAAGCTTCCCTGTAGCTGAGACACCACCCAAAGTTGTCAACAATGGCAATTGTCGTATCTTCCTGGTGACAGCTCATATAATTAGTAAAATCATTAATTCGTTTTGAAAGACTTAAAGCTGAGGTTTATTTTAGGGATTATTAGAGTGACACATTGTGTTGTATGGAGGAGGAAAGGGGGGGGGGGGTTAGGGGAGCATCAGTGTCGGGTCATCCTCGTACAATAGACACTGATTGAGACGTCAGACAGCCGCCCATAGTGCGCCTTCGTGGTGATGCACTTTGGGTTGGTGGCTCCAGCTAACATAATCTGACCTTTAATTTAAACTGAAAGAGCCTGAGCCTGTGACATTTTGTTCTCTTTAAACACGTTACTATATTGGTGATGGGACTTTGTCCAGTAGGAAACTGTCTGACGGGACTTTTGTACTTGTACAGTTGGTGATGAGTAACCTGCCAGCCTCACTGTCCTTCCCATTGTTGTATCCTTTCTCAGGGGAAACAGAGAGAGAGGGAGAGTGTTAGAGCGTGCGAGGGAGTGTGGTCACTGGTGGAGGGAGTGCTGCTGGCTGGCTGGGCCAGGGACGACATATTGTACTCTGGCAGTTTTAATTACTGGTGGTCCCTCGTTAGCCTCGTTGCAGCTGTTAATTGAGGCGTTGAGCGCTCGGGGGGCCGACAAAACAGTCATGGCCGATTGAAGAATTACTTGTCGAGCACAGGTACGACGCGGCAATTGTTGCTAACTGCCGAGTGCATCGTTTGTCCGGGTTGATTGGTCGTTACTCCGCCCGTTTTAATTATGGCAAAGGCGATTTGCAATATAAGCGACGAGAAAGAATGTTGGTGGTGGAGGAGAAGGGCCCTTGTGTCCGGGGGTGGCAAGGTCGTGTTTGGGTCGGCCAGGGTGATGGAATATGTCATGAGTGCAGCAGCGCCTGATAGACTAACTCTTCCCCTCTCGCTGTTGATATTAATATGTATGTGGAAATTACCACGCGTTGCCCGAGGCGCGATAATTGCCTTATTTCTCACTCGCGCTGTTGCCTTACTCCCTTACAATTGTTTGTTTATTATTTGTTGAAAGGAAGTACAGTATCTACATTTCTATAGTTCACTCTCGTGCGTGTGTTTGTGTTAAAACTCCGGGGATACAGTGGAGGCCACTTCCCACCCCCTTATATTGCACGAGATATTTTGATTTAATCTGAATCTACTTATCAGATTAACACCCCAAGTGCGCCCGAAATCCTATATTAAAGTTTGTTTGGGAATAAACCAGCGGTGGTCTTGCAAAATCCCCTTCCAATCCCCCCTCCCCCGAGCACCAAGTTGCGGGTAAGTTGGTGGTGATGCGCTTTTGTTTGTTGAGTAGGCTGGGGCGCTGCCTGATAGGTTTATGCGGGCGTGAACGTGTTGGGCCGTGTTATTTGGTGCTTGTCTCTTGTTAACTGGGTATTGACCACTGGCAATATTCGTCCTCTTGTAATTTCTCGTAATGCTCGCTGCGGAGTAGTAGGACTTGTGTGTGTAATTTCATATCCAACGGAGATTGTTCTTATTTTTTATTTTGGGTGACTCTCCTGTAGTAGCTGGGAGGTGCTGGGGGAGAGGTAGGGTGTCTATTACAGTGTCTGTGTTGGAGTAGGAACTTGTGTTGGAGCAGGACCTTGCGTTGGAGTAGGAACTTTTGTTAGAGAAAGACCTTGTGTTGGATCAGGGCCTTGTGTTGGAGCAGGACCTTGCGTTGGAGTAGGAACTTTTGTTAGAGAAAGACCTTGTGTTGGAGCAGGACTGTGTGTTGGATCAGGGCCTTGTGTTGGAGCAAGACCATGTGTTGGAGCAAGACCTTGTGTTGCAGCTAGACGTCACCACTAGCACTCGGATATTATACCTGTAGTGGAAGAGTCGGGTGTCACAGTCAGGCGTTTAGGGTTAAGGATGTGGATTAACAAAGTCAGATGTTACAATATAGAGGTAGATGGCGTCTTTTAGTGTCAGGTGTTGTACTGTAGAATCAGATGGTGTCAAATCCTAAAACTCCCTCCAGCGATGTCTGCTGCAGTAGTCTTTTCATCCTTCTTCATTTTTACCGATAATTGCTACATTGAAAATTGCTACTATATTCATATTTGTAGTTTTGCCTTGTTATCCCTCCTCCTTCCACCAGGCCAGACAAGGGGGATGATATAGCGATCGGTGTGTATAAGAGCCTTATCAGCTTAATTGTAGTTTGTTTGTGTGTATGTCTGTAATCACCACTTCTCAGCAGGTCACAGATGGCTCTCTCTCTCTCTCTCTCTCCATGATGTAACCCAGATGTATGGTGTGATCATTTTCCACCTGTGTTTTAGAAGGTGTAGTGTGTATTGTGCAGTAATTGTGTTGTATTTGCAGGGATACACGCCGCTGCACATCGCTGCCATGTACAACCGCTCCGAGGTGTTCGATCTGCTTGTACATTATGGTAAGTATCTGTCACACACACACACACACACACACACACACACACACACACACACAGGTTTTGATTATTATAAATTAAGTGTGAGAGTCCGCCCAAGACCCTACAACCTCCTTAATTCATACTGGTAGTGGTCATCACGGCAGACTGAAGACACTAAGTTTCATACAATAAGTGAGATTTGTGTCATTTTTAATTAGGTCGTGTAATTATTTTGAGGACTTGTGAGGTTGGAGGCATGTTAGAGTCTTGTTAATAGTGATGTTCAAAATTTTGTTTGTGTTTGAGATATTTTCATTGTTTATTTGTCAGAGTGAAGGTAGTTTATGTGTTGTGTTTAATAATTTGTTGTGTTTGGCAGGTGGTGACCTCAACATGCGGGACTATTCGGGTAAGAAGCCTCGCACCTACAATACCATCGCCTCCACCGTCTCCCACGACACTCAGAAAAGTAAGTACATCACACACACCGGCATCCTCACGTCCACTGATTCCCACGCCCCCGCCCTCAACGGCAGTGACGACTTGGATGGGTGGCAAGTCTCCCCCCTGGACCGGAACGACCGCGGATCTCGCGCCTCCTTACGCAGGGTACAGTCACATGGTCTCCCTGGCTTGGTCGAGCGAAGCTCCCAAAGACTGGACAGGGCCAAGAGGGTGGGCTCAAAGAGGTTCGAGAGAATCAAGCGGTCCTTCACTTTAACCCCTCACGACAGACCCACGAAGTCCCCCAGCAACATTAGACGACCCCACTCCCAGGAGATTGTGTATGAGGAACCCGAGGACTGAGGGACTACCTCACCTCTCTTACAGCTCCCACCTTACCTCTCATCCTCTGTATTTTCCTCTCCCCATGCATTCCAACCTGTCCCCGCGTCGTTGCCTGCCCACACCCACTTCACCTATTCCTTCTCTGCCTCTCCTCATCCTGTTCCCATCCATCCACCTCCACATCTCTCTGCCTGTATCTCTCTCCTTCTCCCAATCCACTGATCCCCCCTTCCTTCACCCGCCACTTGTCTCTCATCCTACCCTGTTTCCTTCTCCCCCCCGTCCCCCATAACTACGCCAACAACACACACACTTTAGTCGTCCCCAAAAGCCTTCACATTCACTCACAATATGTGACTCTGATCTTTGGGGATGTGATGTACAGTCCCCTTCACTAGTGTGTTTACAGGGGCGCGTCAAGGTTTTTGTTTTTGTTTTGCAGTGTGGCAGCCCTTTGTTAGTGTACATTCGACAGAAGGAAACTCGCAGTAGTAAACATACTGTGGAATCAAAGTAAACAATATTAAAACAAATATCTCAATGTAAATGATATGTGGAATGTTTATATGACGAGTCCCTGTAAACGCACTAGTGATGGGGACTGCACCTCTTGGCGTATTGTTAACAGGTAGAGCCGTCACATTAGTTCAGATTCTCAGAGGCTCGTGCGATGGATAATCCCCTTTACTGAGTATGGCAGAATGTACCCTACTGGCTGACTTGATGCTGAAGCAGAAAAATTAACCTCCAGTGATAGGATCCAAATTACATTTAACAACAGTAAAGGTACAGCATTAACACATAGAATATTACCAAAGAGTCTGTAATGCTAAGTATTGTATCAAGTGAATGTACCCAGTTAAGGTAGAGTTTCAGAGTAATTTTGATGCCATTTCTGAACGTTACTGTTGTGCTTTCGCTTATATGCATGAACCTATTGGGTATATTCTCTTATCTTCACTTGCGAGGATTGTTTAAAGTAAGAATCTTAGAGTCGAACCATGGACATAAGGCTCGTGCCATTTATTTACTCCAAGAATTTAAGGAATTTTAAGAATTGGTGAATAAAAGAAAATGAGGAGTTGTTTTAGGATGTAAAGGCAGTCACGGACCTTGTTGAAAAGTGATGGTGATATTGTAAATTATCGTTATGAACAGAAAACCTTTTATTTGAAGTATTAGCTGCATAGTACTGATATAGAACGTGGACAGGTTGAAGGCCATGTTATATTATAAAGTATTGTTGAAGATAATATTATTGTGTATATTGTTTTAGATAAGAGTTTATTGTTGCATATAATATGATAAGAGGGCATGTTGGATTTATTATAGAAGATAAGAAATTCTTGTGTGCTTTGTCTATACTGGGTGGGGGATATGGTGTAAACATAACGTACTATACATAAACAAACTTTCAAATCCCCAACTGACCTACTTTAACCAAACCGTCGACTCGATTCAGTCTGTTTCGATGTCTGTGTGTAGTGTCGGCGGAGTGGCTAGTGAGGAGAGCCGCTCTACCCTCCCTCCCTCCTCTACCGCTTCCCTCCGTATATTGATAATAAACTAACTTACCCAGACGTGCTACCTAGAGTACAGTCACTTAACCACCAGCATGATGTTGCTGTGATGGTTTGACCTGTAATGTTACGGAGAAAGCCCATTGATGGATTTCTTAAAGTTGTTCCAACTACATTGTACTTGTCTTCCGTGACATCAGAACGGGTTAGGCGGTGAGCAGGTAGCGCTGGTATCAAGGAAGGTCACAGCGTATAAAAGTTTGGGACAGTCATCCAACTCATCACCACGATTGTCCTTTTAGTGCATGTCAATGTTCAGTCCTATGTGGATAAACCTTTAGTATTACCGATATCTTACATTTATATTGTGTGTATAAATGCGTGTACGAGACACTAACGACTCAATACATGACCTGACATGTTACTACACGTCTCGTTCCCGTCATGGCCTCGTTGGGCTGCTTCATGGTCAATACCCCGGACACACACCACCTATTATATTTCGGATCAAAGTCCCGTTTGTGTGTTTTTTCTCCTCGTCAACAGCAGCTGTGATCTATGATGACTGGAGAAGCACAGCGTCTCCTCTAACGCTTGACTAAGATCCTTGACACTAATTTGTAACTCACTTGTTCTTGTCGTCTTCAAGAAACCCTTGCAACAGAAATCTACTCCATGCATCTTCGCACATGCTGGCACGCACACAGACTTGAGCGATAAATGTACACATGAATACGTTCACGCACAGAAACTATAAACTATTCATAAAACTGTTCACTTTGACTCTTCCTGTTCGTCGTAATGTAAAATAAAAAGTAAAAAGACAACAAATAAAAGGACACTAATATTGAAGTAGTATTCAGGTTGTAGGTGAAAACGGCGAGAATACTGAGGAGTCTTATACACGTTCATATAAGTTCAGTACTTGTAGTAACTTAACACGGTGACCCTGTACTTGTCCTCCCTCACATGTAGTGTTTACAGGGCCCAGGAAACTAGTTGTATACACCTATATGATGCTTGTATTTCATAATCCTGTAACATTGTCCCTTGTAATGTAGGGCTGTGTGTGCATTTCCATTGGGGGGAAAGGGAAGACTTTGCATTTCGTGAATACAAAAAGAAAATTAAAAGGCTGTGGGGTCGTCGCATGTTAAGTGAATAATTTAAGCGAAAACTTATATAAAATTTTGCAGGTTTGAAATTGTTTTGAAAATGAAAATATAAGGATTAGTGTAATGGAAACTACGGCCGTATCCCCCACAAAAAAAAATAATGCTAACATCACAGCAAAAAGTGAAGTGCATTCACACGAGAGGCGTGATTTCTTAGTAGTTAACCAGTACACATCTCGTGGTAGTTTTGTATATTGAAAAAACAACACTAGAGGGAGAAGACTCATACACTATTACAGTATTGTTTCTGAAATCAGGAATGATTAGGGTGTGTTAGGTGGTTGTGGTCAATCATTACTTATTTTTTGCAACATGAGAATGAAGGAAACTGCAGCGGGCCCATTAGTCTATACTAGGCAGAACCTGCCACTCTTCCGCACCTCTATTTTCCAGATCAATGTTTACCTGTTTCATCTTAAATCTAAATTTCTACGTGTTCGCTCCTGGTTTGATAGTTTAAGTATTTTAGTATCGCCTTTATTTAACCTTGACTTCCATTTATACCCCTCGATTTCTTAATCTGTCTCTATATTTCAAGAGTCCTAATGCCCGGGATTAGCTTTGTCATCCTCCTGTGAATGCTTTCTTGGACGAGTATCGTCTGTTTTTTTTTTTGTGTTTTTAAGACTTTTGACACTATTTAGGGTTCTCTTGTAAAGATTGAACAACCTAATTCTTGACCAACTGAGACGTAATTTCTCCAAGCTTCTTGAAATACTTAGCTTAACAATTCTTTCTACCTAAGCTGGACCGGATGCGTGTGTAGTCGCTTAATTCTTACCTAAGCCAACACGCGTTGATGTCTTTGATTTCTTGGGTACAGGATTAATATTTTACCTCTTATGTTTCTCTTTATCTACTTCGCATTTATCTTGCTGGAAAAGTTTTCCACGTTGCTCGAATTGGCTGTCAGTGTAGTGGTCAGTTTTGTGAGGACCGCAGGCCACAGTGATGTCTATTTATCTATCTATGTTGGACGTGTGAATTATATACTTTAGTGTAATATATAATGTGTCCATACAACTATTGTTAACGTCAGTGATAGCTTCCAGACAGACGTGTTCAGCTTCAAACTGTTATCTTGATCACAGTGGCGTGATTACCAGTTAAGTCTTTAGTATAAGTGTTCTTTGGTATTAGTGTTCATTAGTATTAGTTAGTGTTCTTTAGTATAAGTTAGTGTTAAGTTGCAATATGTAATGATAGTAGAGGAGTGTTGGTGCAGAATAGCGAGGTGTTAGTTGATCACCATATTGAGAGTCGAGTACAGTACTGACTCGTGTAAACAAGCAGCCCTGGCACCGGCTACACTCACTCTTGCATATATTTTATTCCATGATTCCAGTCGGTGATGTGTAAGAACAGTGTGATTCTTCAACACTTTATAACCAAAAATACTTCCTAAACCCCCTTAGAATGGAGACAGATTTTATGTGGTGAATTTTCATATATTTTTATTTTATAGTTATGAGAAAGGAGATTGTTTTGTGAAGGGTTGAGTTGGCGTAACGAACGGTAGCTGACGTATACCGGTTACGAGGAGATGTGTGAGACTATTACTATGATTAGATAATACCAACACAGAAAATCCTTTTTAAAGACAAATATAAGTATTGTGAGGACAGCTGTGGTCAAATGGGCTTTAGTCTTTATACTAGGCTTCCAACTTAACCTAACCATTAAGACTGGGCCTCAGCATTAATGATTAGGAAGAGGTTGTGGCTACTTGACCTATAATCATGAAGGTTGGTTAAGGAAGGATTGGTCACTATTTGCCCTCGACATCAACAAAAACAACGAGTAGTCAGAGGAGGCATGACTAGAACCTTGTTCAAACACACTCATCAGTAGACACCTCACAAACCGCAGCTCACTATAGTATTATTATCCTCTCTTGGTCAGCCTTCTGGTTAGGTTCCAACTGTTAGTGGGTCACATCGTGTATGTTTACAAAGTTGCCACGCTTGAACCTTCGACCTGGCAGGTAGTTCACAGGATTTGTTGTGATGAAAAATTTATTGATATTCAGTCCTAAAGTAGAGTATTGAGGGAAGTTCACATGAGGTAAAAACTATAGTGACCAAGAAGTGATGTTCTCAGACTTTGTTCATTTCGTTTAAAGTTAGTAAATGTTCCTACTGAATAACGTAGATATATGCCGCTGCCTCTCACACTCTCCTCGTCACCACACTTGACCCTCTTAGCTTAAATAACAGTATGAATTATTTGATTATACAACTAGGATAGATCTTTATTAACACTAAAAAACAACTTGATTCTTGTGCGGGCTTCACCATGTTGGGTGTTGGTCAGGGACTAAAGGGACTCATTAAGCGACGGACTTGAACGTAATCAAAGTTGACCAAACCTAATTTAATCTACCTAAAACATTATCTAACTTGACCAAAGCTGCTGTTTTTAAATCACCTGGAGAATCTTCACTCCAGCTTATTTCACTTAAAGTTTAACCACCTTAACGCTAACCTAAACTAACCGTACCCCTCAAATAGTGTTAGGGTGGTTAATCTAAAGGTGAAATAAATTGGGGTGGAGTTTCTTCAGATGATCCGTGGTTTTGGTACAAGAATTCAGCTTGGGTTACTGGTCCATCATTATAATGTGTCCTGACTGAGTACCTCTAGTTACTTATTGTGGCTGGAGGTCATCTATGCTGAAAACCATACTTAATTTGTCATTGCTGTCTTGGTATAATAAATATATAATTAGGGATGACCTGAAATCTTATATTTTTGCCCTAAAAAGTCGTAAAGATGAACCAAAAACAATAACCGAATAAAATTGAATTAAAGAAAATTAAGGTTTCAGCATAGATGACTACACCTAGTTGTTTTAATGTTCAAACAGGTGGCAGCACTAACAAGGTAGTTCTTATCGTGTGTTATCAAGATAAGGAAATGAAACGCTTATAATGAAGAGCACTTTCCTGAGAGAGAGGAAGCCCCGCCCTGCCCCGCCCCGACTGAGTGATAACCCGACACAATGACACACCCCGTTCCACGTCTCCACACACACACACACCTCACACTCATATATATTTCACGTAAACCACCTGAAGATTACACACCCCAGCTTATTTCACTTGAAGATTAATCACCTTAACGTTACTTCTGAATGTTAGGGTACCGTTAGGGTGGTTCTTCTTCAGATGAAATATATGGGGTGTTTGATCTTCAGGCTAATCCTTCGTCCAGCTGTAATATCTTACGTGAACGGTCAAGTTTCTCTATCCATCTTGATGTTAAATATATCATCATGTATTTTAGGATATTTAGAGAGGTTAAATCACCATACTCAAGACATTTAAGTCATCATACTCAAGGGGTTGAGTCATTATTCTCAATAGACTAGTTCATTACACTCAGAGAGTTAAATCTGCATTGAAAATGGATATTAATACTGTGTTATGAGTAAGGCTTTTTCAAATAGGTGTACTGTATATCTATTGTTTAACAGTGCATCTTGTAGTCAATCATTTACCAGGTCACGTCAGGTTAGGTTAGGTTAGGTTATCAGGTATTAACACACTTGTTTTAATCCTGTTTTACTAGAAATGGAACACTCAGAGTCGAAGCATTAATTCACGGACAGTAGAAAAAGATTTGCACAAAATAACATTGTAGGAACGTGGCCATGTGACGTGCTCTGTTGCTGTGCGAGTGTGTGTGGTGTTGCTGTGTTACGTGTGTTGTATTGCTCTGTTACCTGTGGGGTGTTGATACATACCCCATCACTCTTATATCTATCCAACCTTTAATTCAAACTTCCCAGTGTGTTTGGTAACTTGCTCCACCCATCCACAACCCTGTTTCCTAGCCAATCATTACCTAATTTCCTCGTAAATCTAAATTTTGTTTAATTTAAAACCATTGCTATGTGTTCTCTCCTGATTTAATAAGTTTATGTTCCTTAGTTTTGTTTTGTTTTTCTTTTATTTTTGCCGATCTTCCATATACAATACTGTATGTACAGCAAAAAAAAAAAAAAAATATATATATATAGTTATATACTGTATATATATATATATATATATATATATATATATATATATATATATATATATATATATATATATATATATATATATATATATATATAAATCTGCCTCTTTACGGTGTTACACAATATGACACACCGGACAAAATATAAGTATCCTTACATTTTCTTACTCTCGGATTTATCTGTGTTCAGCTGATATTTTGTTGCCTTCTTCGCTCCCTAGTCTAGGACCTTTACAGTGTTCCGCGTTGAGTTACATCTGCTATGTTTCAGTTCATGCTAAAAGTGTATTCAAGTCTTCCTGAAATTTTCCGAGTCCTCAATGCCTAAATGTATGTCGTTAATGTTTATAATAAATAGTAACGGCTCGAGTATTGAGCTTTGGGTACGCCAGGCGTGACGTTATCCCAGTCTGATTTTGTACCGTTTATGGCTCTATGTGGACCGTTTCCTGTTGAATAACCATGCCCTAATCCAATTTAGAATCCCCCCCCCCCCTTCAGTTCCTCCACTTTCCGCATTAGTGTTTCGTGAAAGACTGTCTAAGGCTTTGTTAAAGTCTAGGTGTTGCTGGAGAAATTTATTTAATAATTAAGAAGTGGTGCTGTGTTGCTTGCGAGCTGTGATTGTGTTACATATGAGGTATTGGTGCGTTATATATGGCTTGTACCTTAGTTACTTTTGTGGTATTTTAACAAGATCACTTAGAAACAACAAAGAAGCGATAAAGTGTTTTAACCATTACATAATTTATTGTTGTTTTCATCACCTCCTTAACGCACAGGATTTGCCTACTCTTGTGTACTCTTAATGCTGGTGGGATTTTGTTTGTTTATCTACAGTGTGACGCAAGTTTACCGAAGGAGTGTCGTAGCGGAGGTGTTGACAGTGGCTCAGCTGTCCCTCCACACCCTCACAATCCTGTTACGACTCCTCACCTACCACCACTGCTCTCTCTCTCTCTCTCTCTCTCTCTCTCTCTCTCTCTCTCTCTCTCTCATTGACAATTATCGCACGTTGTTATGCTGTATGATAATTTATATGTACTGCAATAATACCAAAACATTGTCTAATTCCTGACTCTTATTCTTCCAGGGATCCTCCAGAGACGAAATTCCGGTAAGTGACGTCTTCACGCATTTTATCTTAACTCCAAAATATCGTGATAGATTTTTTATTTTTTCAACAGAGAATTTTTTTTAATAAATTATGACTTAAGGGTTAGACGATAAGAATTGTATATCGTAAAGAGTAGTGTGTGTGTGTGTGTGTGTGTGTGTGTGTGTTTGTGTGTGTGTGTGCGCGCGTGCGCGCGCCCAGAACCTGCAAGTGGAGGGAGTGTAGGAAGGTGGAAGAAGTGGGGGGAGGTGGAAAAAATGTTGTCAGCCCCTTCATCCCTTCCCTCACCACCATCACCTGTTGTCAGCCCCCTCTCTCACCACCACTTTCCTCTCTCCTCCCCACTCATCCTCTTACCCCTCCTCTTCCCCTTTTCCCTCTTCCTCTTTCCCTCCTCTTCCTCTTTTCCCTCCTCCCCTCTTCCCCTTTTCCCTCCTCTTCCCCTTTCCTTCCTTATCCCTTCTTTCCTTTTCCCTCCTTATCCCCTCTTCCCTTTTCCCTCCTTATCCTTTCTCCCTCTTCCCCCCCACTTCTCCTCCCCTTTCTCCCCGCCCACCTTCATTATCAATCAACACCTCGTCGAAAAAAACTGTCTTAAACATGAAGCCATTAGAAAGTTTTCTTGGTGGCTAATTAGTTCATGAATATTAAGGCGAGCCCCGGGCCGGGGCCACAGTGTTAACTCACCCGCCCGACACCGCTCAACACCTTGTCCTGTGCCACCTGGGTTTGCCGCGCTGCCAAGGACAAGGTGGTCTTTTACCAGGAGCAGGTGGAGGGCTGTACCAGGGGGCAGGTGGAGGGCTGTACCAGGGGCAGGTGGAGGGCTGTACCAGGGGCAGGTGGAGGGCTGTACCAGGGCAAGGTGGAGGGCTGTACCATAAGTTAGTATGTAACATACCCTTGGTACAGTAGTTATGTCGCCGTTACATAATTTTCTGTTTACAGTCGTCCTTTGGGTTGTCTGTATGGTTCTGTTATTACCTGACTGAATTATTCATATAACTTACATTAGTTTGGTGGCAAAATACAAAAAAAATTAAGTTACTTGAAAATTAAGCACCCCAACCTATTTCACCTAAAATTTAACACCTTACACTACTTTAGGGGTTAGGTTAGATTTTGCTCAGGTACAGTACGTTAACTTATGTTCAGTTAGATTAGTTTAGATAAGCTTTAAGGTGGTTAAACTTTAGGTGAAATAAGCTGGGGTGTCTAGTGCTCATGTGATCCAAAGATTGTGTATGTATAGACACTGAGTGAAATAATATTATGTTCTGGAAGCTTTTGACGGTTGGAATATATTGTTGCTACTCAGTTTGTGATTTTCTTTTGTATTGCCACAGAATTATTTAGGTCCCTTGTCGGTTGGCGTCTCTCACATGTTTGTTAACGTTCAGTGACTTAAGTTTTATGGTAGGGTTTTGTTTTCGGGGTTGGAGGAGGGGTGAGAAAAAGTTGCTCGTTACTCACAGGAAAACACAGGTCATATCCTCTTGATTTTTCTGCGTTTTATGACCCCTGGGTTATTCGTCATATATTTAGTGACCCCCTCACACCCCCCTTCACCCCCTACACCCCCTCACCCCTCACACCTTCACCTCACCCCTCACACCTCACCCCCACCCCTCACACACCCCTCACCCCCCCACACACCCCCACCCCTCACCCCTCACCCCCCACCCCCACCCCTCATACACCCCCTCACCCCTCACACACCCCCCTCACCCCTCACACACCCCTCACCCTCCACACCTCACCCTCACACCCTCACCCCTCACCCCTCACCCCTCCACACCCCCTCACCCCTCATGCACACCCCCTCACCCCTCACACACCCCCTCACCCCTCACCTCACACCCCTCACACCCTCACCCCTCCCACACCCTCACACCTCACACACCCTCACACACCCTCACCCCTCACATACCCTCACCCCTCACACACACACACCCCCTCACCCCTCTCACCCCCCTCACCCATCGTGATATTTTCCCCTAACGTCACCGTGTATGATTCATGTTGCTGGTGGCTCTACTGATTTATCTTATATTTTTTATATGTATTTTATCATTTTTTTCTGGTGTAATTACAAGTCATTCTGCACTCGATGAGATCACAGGATCACTGTAGAACAACCCCTGGCAGTCGTTGGCTAGTTATGTTTTGGTTATGTGTTTTTTGGGTTATTTTAAGTCCGTTCAGTGCTTCACCAGTCGTGTGTGAACAGTAGTCCCGGGTGTGGAGGTGTATCATGTTGTAGAGACTGTTGGGGTGATGCATACGACTACTAATAATTACGTGAGTGTGGCAGCTCCGCACTACAGGCCAGGGTCCGGATGTTTAGTTTCTTACCGGTGTGTAAACTCTATTTTTCCGAGGGATAAGAGAAAGCGTTTGATTTCAGTTGAGTCTCAGGCAGTTTCACCACCAGTTTGATAAAAATTTTGATTCATGATCCAGGCCTGTTTACGGACCCTCAGTAGTCACCGTAACTCTCGTCTTCACAGTGTAAGTACTCAGTCTTCACATCCTTGGCCAGTGTTGTACACAAATTCACCTCACTTTCCTCACACCATCCCATGTCACTTCCAGCCTTCTTCACACTGTCAGCCGATTGATGAATTGTGAGAGCGTCACCTCACCAATACACTGACTTCACAATTCCGGTTACCCCACTCTGATGAGAAGGGCGTTGGAGCGCCTCGGTATCCTCACACCTCATCCTACAGTCCTCACTAGGTGCCACACTTGGTCGACCAGTGAGGGTGTGTGCCGCGTGGCGAGGTTCCCAGCCTTAATGTGTGCGTTTGTGTGTGAGCTGAGACGGCCACTTGATCACCAGGTGGCCGCGCACTCCAGTAATGGAAGGAGCGCCCCGGCCGTCTAATGACTCCTCCTTAGCTCTGCTGTTTGTACGTGTCGGCCTCCCCTCACAACTGCCGCCGGGGGACACCTCTCACGTCCCTCACGCTGCCCGGCTCTACTGTACCCCAAGGAGAGGCTTGTATTTGCCTCTCCCCTTTGTTTTCACGGTTCATTTCTTTGCGTTTTATGATTATGGTTTGCGCCTCCTGCGTCGTCAGTAAAGATTAACTGTCCTTCTGGTCTAAGTGTTCGTTACAAGTAATATAGGTCGTCTTGTAAGAAATCTCAATTAGATGAAATGGGCTTTGTAGTTATATATTCGTTTCGTTGACATGAGGTACTGTATAATAATAATAATAGTAATAATAATAATAATAATAATAATAATAATAATAATAATAATCATAATCATAATAATAATAATTAACGGTTTATTGAAAAAGTTCGACAGCCCGAAGGCTGAAAATATACATTGGACAAAAATGACTTATTACACGCAAAGACGTGGGGTGGGTGGGTCGTTTAACAAAAGCTCTCATTACTGAAAGAAGAAGGAACATGAATTGAACATACAAATTATTATAGTTTACAGTTGATGGCCCGAGCCTTTGGCCCGGGCCTGGAGTGGTCATGGAGACACCAGGTGGTGTGGTGTTCACGCGGTGCAGTAACTCGTCCTCGGGTGTTGATATGAAGGACCTCACGTGGTCATGTGAGTATGTCTATTTGTATGCTGGTGGACGCCCGCCTCACTAGAGGTCACAGCGCAAGGTTGAAGAAGCCACAAATCCAGAAAATTGTGAAGGCAAACATTTTCGGAGTGGATAGGAATTGTAAACTCTTGAAATAATCTGCCAGAGACTGTGACAGCACCTAATAGGAGCTCTTTCAAAACCAGACTTGACCAATACTGGCGCAGGCACAGATAGTCCTGGAGCCAGTACATGCCAACAGTACGTAACAGAGATGTAACCGACCGCCCAAGCGGTTAACGAGCCAATCAGTGGCGAAGAGGATAAAATTTAAAAAGTGTAATCTCTTCGTTTCTTATTAAGACAACATATAAACACTCGACATATAAAAATAAAAGACCGATATCTTTTACGGCCACTTATGTCATACCTATAAGTTAAGTTTTCATAATGCCTTACTCTGCTTTAGCCTTGCACATACAGGCGTTCTTACAGTCTAGGAGAGAAACTGTGGCACAGAATTAAATTTAACCGCCAAATATCTGTCACAAGACTGGTATCCTACACCACAGGCTTTATAGGTTGGTGTCTGTCCGCGTTCTTTCCGTTTTTAAAAGCATTACTTACTGAAGAACCACGGAGTCTCACACTCTTGTAGTACAGAATACGAAGATGTGGACGCCGCAAAGATTGCTACAGCTCTTTCACGTCCCGTAGATGCACATTCACAACTACTCCTTGTAACTAGACGAAAACTTGTATAAAGTAGACATGCAACTTTATTCCTGGTATTATTTAGACATACACACCTTTGTCTCCACACCTAAACATTTCATTCCAACCTCAGTGAAGACGACAGCAAAGACACCAAGTCAATTCTTGTTCCTCTCAGCCCTCACCCACGTACCTAACGACAGATGACAATATCCTCACTCGTCTCATATGGAGGGACGAGTATAATAGTCCTCTCAAGATTTTTGCAGAAGATTCGATAAATTAAAGACTGTTAAGATGGTAGCCGTGAGGATACCATACACTGACCCGATTCGTGCGTGTTGGAAGAGTTGCAGGTGAAGACTGATGCTTTTTTTTTTACCTCTTCAAGTTTGTGACAGCTTATGTATTAGTACATAATTATACACACATTGTGGTGTATCTGTTTTATCACCTAAGTACAGTCTAGTAAACCTTTATCACAACCTGTATGTACTCGACAAAGCCTTGTTACCTGCATCAGCTGGTGAATACAATAACATCTTGTGCTCACAGTTTTACCACACTGGCACGCGAGATTCTCAACACCTGATGAAGCTGATTGTCCTAAATTAAGGAGAGGCAGTCAACACAGTCAATCATTCAACGTAAATAATTAGGAACGGAGTTGGATGGGCGGAGTTAAGACGAGGTGTGTGTAGTGAGGTGTGAGGGAAGGGGGACGGG